GCGCAGAGGAAGATTGCAGTTATGACTTCTACAACGCTTCCTCAAACATCATCTCCACAGTCTGCAGAAGGTTTCCATCCCACAGCACCTGAAGTCATACCTACTCTGGATGGACAAGTCGAATGTCTGCGAGGGAACCTATTTGAAAGAGCCAGCCTACAACCTTCATCTCTTCGTGGATGCATCTCTACAAGGATGGGGAGCGCATTACTATGAAGTGGTTGCATCAGGAAGCTGGTTACCGGAAAAAAATCTACATAAATCTACAAGGCTCAACGAGATCAGCACCTCTTCTACAACTGATGTTCCAGATCTTCAGCCTTGTAGACGACCTCAACCTATGAATGAAGGCCTGCCACATTTCCACATTCCACTTTGAACTTAACACTGAGTAGGTTTGTCCCTGAGGCAAGTGCGAGATAGAATCGCGGCTGTGTTGCCTCAGGTGTTGTCCAAGTTGAATACCCGAATTGTGGAGTTCGCCTCCTGGAGGGAAGCCTAATTCCAGGAGGGCATCCGGGACAAGGCCTCACATTCTACCGTCAATCTGCCGTTCATTCCCCTTAACAGCTCAACACTGTATGTTCCACTCGGCGCATCTCTATGCTCTGCTGAGGGAGCTGGTCAAAAGGGGAATGAGCGCTGGTGATTTTTTCATCAGGGACTCTGGGCAGCATCTACCGGAGGTCAATTCTCATCTGGCTAGGGACTGCATTGTAGCTGTGCCAGCCAAATGATGAGTGCGGTTATGGGCCTATGGCGCCCGGGACTGTTTCGAGGAATACGGAAGTCTGTCGAGCTTCTCATTAATCCCTCAGGTGCCCAGGCACCAGCAAACGTTATGTTGCCGACTGCAGGGGTTTTTCTTCCGCAAACCCCAGTCAGAGTGTGTTGCACACCAGTGTCGGCTTCCCGGGTGACGGCGAAAATACTCTGTGTCGAGATCCAGTCTCTGCTGGGCAAGGCAACCGTCGAAGTGGTTTCCAATGGTCAGTAAAATGTGGGGTTTGACTTCATTTATTTCCTCGTTGCCATTAAGGAATGTTCAGACCCATTCTCATCTGAGAGCTGAACAAGTTAATAAAGGTACTGTCCTTCAAGATAGAGACACTGCGCGCGGTGATCACATCTGTCGAGATAGGGGATTGGCGCACGTCAATCAACCTCGATGTCCCGTACCTCCGTGTTCCATTGCACCCTGAATTCAAGATTTACCTTCGGTTCTTCTTCGACGGGGTGTGCTACCAGTTTAGTGTGCTCCCCTTAGGCTACATTACGGCGCCAAGGGTGTTCACCAAATTGAGGTTTATTACAGCCCAGATAGCCAGATCGCAGTGCCGGTGTTCTCACCCGGACCTAGGCGACTGGCTCATCGGGGCTTTAGAATAACAGTTGAGTCTGGGAACCTCACGATCAGTGTTGGTCACTCTTACGAAACTGGCTCGAATTGTCAACCTCGCGAAGTCAGACCTCGTCTCGAAGCAGGATCCGGTCTTTCTTGGGGGTGATGCGAGTTTGAGGATGAGACCCATGCAGCAAGCTTTAGCAGCTGGGGTTTCACTCATAGAGCTACGAGAACTTTCTCGTGATGCCAGAGTGGTTGATTCCTCATTTGCAGTGGTGGACAGACGTCAGGTGTCTCTCCGAGGGGCTCCCCCTGGAGACGCCATCGCTCTCAGTCCAGCCAGATACATCCCTCCCGGGTTGGGGCGATGTTCTGGGTGACCTGCAGTTGCAACCTGCACATCAATGTGCTGCAACTGACAGCAGTCAGGTTGGTGTTCGATCCCGCACGCCGGGATTCGAATTACCTTTTCGGCCAGACATTCTCACTCTAAATGGGGGGGGCCACACCCGAATCCTCGGATTCACTGGGTGGCTTAGCCTCTGTCAGGTCTAACCTCCAGACACGCGGAATTCCTGCAGCAGTTGCGGACACAATTCTGGCTTCGAGCCGGGATTCGACACCCGTTCAGTATGTTGATAGGTGGGGCGTGCTGGTGTGCAGATAGGGGGATCTCAGAACCCTTATTCCGCGGATTAGTTCGGATATTGGAGTTACTATAACCTCATTTTGGTTGAGAGACCTTATGACCTCCACCATTCCCGGGTACTCCATGGCTATTTCCATATTTCAAACCTCATTCGATACTGCTCTGCCTAGGCAGCACCCTCTCGTACAGCACTTTGTAGCTGGCATGAACAGGGTTCGACCGCCTTGGCAGCGATCCAGCCCACCTATAAATTGCCAATTATTCTCAATTGGCTGTCTGGCCCTGACTTTTCAAGTATATTGTCTCTCTCACTTCACTTGTTGACGTGGAAGACGGCTTTGCTTGTGGTGGTGAGCTTTGGTAGAATGGTCGGGTACATCCATGCGATACCAACTGACCCGACACTGACAGTATTTTATACTGATCATGTCCGTATTCTCCCCCTGGATAGCTACCACTCTCAGAACGATATTGCTTTTCACGTGAATGCTCACGTAACATCCCCTTACCCAGCCTTCCACACCTGGGACCGAAAGAGATCCGTACGGGTACCCATGTGTTCTGTTTGGTGGCGGGAAGACTGGGGAGTCTGCTAGCAAGCGGATTTTATCTCGTTAGCTTGTTTCCGTAATTGTTCGGTTACAATGCTAAGGTTCACCTTCCCCCGAGGGGTTGAAGGCAGCCTTGGTAGGGCAGATGCTGCTTTGTTGGCAATACACAGCGGCACTGCTCAATGAAGAGATCGGTTCTGTCGCTCTTTGGAGCTGGCCTTCATTCGCCATTACCGACTTGACACGCATTTTAAAGATCGTGCTCGGTCGGTCTTTCGGTTCTCTCCAGTGGAGTATGTCCTGCCACCCTGACCAAGGTAGTAACTGGTCATTGATATCGGTTCTGTGTTCAATGTCGATATGGTTCATATCACTACATCGTATAAGCCTTTACCACCCTTTCAGGTTGGGTTGGGTTTGGGTGTACATACATCCCATACGTCCTCTTCACCTAAAGGCAAGCGAGGGCAGGGCCAGTTTTGAACGCTATAACCAGTCATATGCTATTAACCCGTCTTACGATGGAATAGGGTACGAATCCCCCACGGGTCACTGTTTGGTATGCCTCTCTTCGAGCCGCATGTCACGTGACCAGGTTAGCGTAATAGTGAGCCAATTCATGTTTGGCTATGCTTTCGCTATTTCAGGGGAATTTTTGTAAGCTCACAGTTCTTTCCCTCTTGCCGAGACTTCGGTATTTGGGAGTGTTAATTAGCACTTTGGCTGATGGTGGTTTACACTTACCCTACTCGCGCCAAGAACGTTTGGTGGGGGTGTTTTATCCTGCTTTTCACTCGTACAATGGCTCTTGTACTCGTTTGATTTCCTCAGAAAGTTTTTAGCGAGGCTAATAATTTCTCTGGGTTTTATCGAGGTCCCGGCAAAGCCCTCTTCTAAACAGGAGGGGTGCATTCGAGCATTACAGTCTGTTTGAGACAAAATGATACCGATGAATTGCAATCTAACACAAAAACAAATAGACATAAAAGCATCAAACCAATGCGGACTGCAATAAAAACAACAGACCAACTCTAGAAAACAATTGCATAATTTTTGTCACAAAAATAAAAATGTTGTTTAAGAAACTGTCATCATTTATTTGTGCGTTTTCCAAGTTTGTTACAGTTGGCAACTAAAGGAACAGCCCGAAAAGCAAGATGCACGTGCATTCATGACGTTAGAGACATGTGATTACTGCTGATTGACAAAGTGAGAGAAAATGAAAGTCTGTAATTTACAAAGTCTATGATTTCTTCACGGATGAATATGACAGGAGGTGACCCAAGTATGCAATTACGAAGTACATACAGCGCACTGCCTGTGCAGCTGGGGTACATGTCATCTTGCCAGCTCAAAAAATTGTTGAGAACCCGTTAACACACATGCATCTCGCTTTACGCGCTGTTCCTTCAGCGCCCCTGTAACAAACTTGGAAAACGCACAAATAAATGATGACAGTTTCTTAAACAACTTTTTTATTTTGTGACACAAATTATGCAATTGTTTTTTAGAGTTGGTCTGTTGTTTTTATTGCAGTCCGCATTGGTTTCATTCTTTTATGTCTATTTGTTTTTGTGTTAGATTGCAATTCATCAGTATCATTTCATCTCAAACGGACTGTAGTTTGTAGTACTTATTAGCTCGACTCCTGGGTTATTAGCTTTTAAGCATTTTTTACGCTTTCCCTACTCTTATACGTCTCTCCAAGCTTCGCTGGTTTGGGCTATATTAGGGTTGGGAGTTGTTTCGGCATGTCCCCATACATTCCTTTCCATTGTCATGGTTGGGGGTAGGGTTTTATGTCATAATTGTTTTGAGCCAATTGACGTATAAGCTTGGGCTCCCTATTTCACGCCCCCGCCTGATTGACATCTGTGGTCAGGTGGTTCGGTAAGTGTGTTTTTTCTTTTTCCGTATCGGTTGTAGATTTCACTCCACCACGGTTTTAGTTGTTGCCAGACAGAATGCCGCTCCCGGCTCAAATATCTTTGGGAGTCTTATGCTTATATGTACCCCAAGGAGGATTTCTTCTGAAATAGAATTATACAAACCTGTAGAGGTTATTAATTCTTTGCAGAAAGTCCTCCTTGGGGTACAGCCACCCGCCTCCCCTCATTCTGTCTGATCCGTTCAGCATGAAAATTGAAGTACGAAGTAGACGGCGGGAGTTACCTGCTATTGGCTGTAGGGGGGCCTGGTGGGGTCCTATAGGGGTGGTCTCACAAGACAAAACGAGTGTTTTGTTTTGTAAATATTTTATTGAAAAATATAGTTACAACTGTCGTAGGATTGACATTTTAATGCTTATATGTACCCCCCAAGGAGGACTTTCTTCAAAGAATTCATAACCTCGACAGGTTTGTATAATTTTTAATAAATATTTGCAAGCCCTTTTTGAGAAAATATTCTCTGCTCTGCATCTAAAGGTATTCATGGTATTAATATCTTTCTACAGTGGTCCTATGCCCTTGAGAAGCCAAATACAGGCAGTATTTTCAACTTGGCATGGTCGAGTGATGGCACCCAAGTGGCAGGTGCATGTGGGAATGGCCAGGTCATCATTGCAAATGTTATAGAGAGGTAAGGCAATATAGAGCATGAACTCTAAATTCTCGACTTTCTAGTAGTACTCTGTGTATGTTACTGTCCTGCAGGTATGGTTCCAGTTCATTAGTCTACATTATAGTCTGTCAGTCACAGGTCTTGCATATGTAGCAACATTGGCGCCAACGTGGTGCTGAGCACGTTCATATTAAATTTGAGCCAAATAAGTCTCAGTACCCTGCTATGCAGCTCGGGACTTGCCTTCTGTTGATGGGGGAGTATGTAGCAGGGTGTGGAGTCATCCTACAGATGATATCCTTACCATGTCAGTTTGCTGACGGGGTTAAGCTCTTTGGTCATGTGGACAAAGCATCTGACTTCAGATCAGAAGGTCCGTGGTTCGACGGTCCAGCAGACTCAGAAGGTTTATGGCTACATTGGTGCCATCGTGGGGCTGAGCAGGTTCATATTAAATTTGAGCCAAATAAGTCTCAGTACCCTGCTATGTGAGTTTGTTCAAAATTGCCTCTGTTCACCCAGCAGTAAATGGGTACCCGGTGGAATTAGATGTTCATATGCCTGTTAACCTTCTAGTGCTAATTCAGAGTAATATAATAATATCTACACTTTGTGCACAATTAGCACCACTGATCATCTTCGAGGTGATTATCATGTGCTCTAGAAATGCATTATATATGCACATTGAAAACATATGAAGCTTCACAGTCGTTATCAGCCTCTTCTCCAATGCAAAGTCTCCATATCATGTAAACTACACATTAACAATTATTTGTTTTAAGTGCCAGTTTAGAGTTTTTTTCAAAGACCTTTCACAAAAATTCATATTTTTCCTTATCCTGACTCATGCTATATTGCTTATCTCCCTTTCCCTTTCGACAGTTTTGTGGAAACTTGAATCCTTTTGTTCCCAAGAACAGTCAAAATTCACTCACCCATCAGGAGCCCCACTTTCCCACCAAAACCATCTCATGTGACCTGAGCAAAGCTCTCCTCACTCTCTCCTTCATCGCCCAAGCGGATGGCTGGGCAGTTTCCCTTTTACGGCTTATATCCTTTAAACGTTCAGCCAGATTTTCAAATTAAGGCTGTGAATTGTATTTTAGGACATTATATTATCATAGTGATGTATTTATTTACGTAAATTACGGCTATTTTCTGAGATTTTCTCACTCCATTTGAGGTGACTGTTTCTACATGGTGGCTTGTAAACAATGCAGGTTACGCAGTCGGGCATAGCGTAATGTTGCGGCTGATCCGCACCCTGTGTGTTCTTGCATTAACACATCGTGTTCTCTTGCCTCCCATTGTAAATATTGTGCACATTTATCAGAATTTGCATTTAATATATTTCTGTTATCCCGTTTACGCAAGACTATGGACAAGCTTAGGTGTGGCAGCAGGGTCGCCGCTGACAAGGGTGTTTCCCAGTCACCTGATCATGAGTTGTCTCCACTACCATCATCCGGGAATGCTTCCATTTTGATGATTGCTGATTTTTTTAGTCTCCCTCCAGGGTTATTCCCGTCTCTGACGCTCTTACAGAGACAGCAACTCAGCCCCTCTCTAAGAGGAAGTCTGCTCTTAGGGAGGGGTCTGACTCCCAGAAGCAGAAGAAGAAAAAGCCGTCATCCTCTTCGAAGTCATCCTCATCAAAGACATTGTCATCGAGGTCATCATCGTCACGGTCATCCCAGTCCGAGAATGGGTTCGCAAACCCTTCTACGCAGTGGATCACTCGTCGCAACTGTCCACAGTCTAGCAACCCTTTAGTGTTCATGAACGCTACTATGTTGCCAGCCAAGAAATCATCTACTATGGTTTCTCGTCGGCCTCCAGATGCTTTCCCGCAGCCCTTTAATCAGCAGGACGTCTAGGCTACTACTGGGAGAATTGGAAGGGTACGAGATCCAGCCCAAGGCAATGCCTTGGTGCACAGATACCCCGAGTTACAACACATCAAGTTGACTGAGGCCATCGACTCCGTAGAGATCCTGGATCAACGTAGTCTCACCCCAGGCTCTCCAATTTTCCTGGTACCGAAGAAGATCTCCAAAGAGAAGTTCTGCCTCATCTACAGCATGAAGCGTTTCAGCCTAGACTATTTGCTGAAAAAAGACAAGACCAAGATGCTGCTTTTACCACAACTGTGACATCTCATCTGACCCAAGGACTACTTAGCCAGGATCAATCTGCAAGACGCTTACCTGCACATCCCCATACATCTGGCCTCAAAGAAGTATCTACAATTCCTGTATCAAGGGCAACACTACCAGTGGAGGGTCCTCCCCTTTGGAATTTCCTTGGCCCTGTGGCTATTTTCATGTGGAACCAAGCCCATCGTTGCGTATCTACATCAGCGGTGATTACGCAGTGCCTTCTACCTAGACGATGGCATCCAGGTGCATCAACTAGCAGATAAACTCAGACGTGAACTGCAGTTCACGATCCATCTCCTGACAGCTGGACTGGCTAGCCAACCACATGAAGTCGGAACTAGAGCCATCACAGGATCTGCAGTTCCTCGGTTTCAGGTTCCAGACCACAGAGAATCGCATCACTGTTCCAGAAGATCGGTGGTCAAGCATCCACGCGTATCTTCCAGCAGCTCTCAACTCACCACTACCGATAAGAGCGTGGCAGTGTCTTCTAGGCCTCCTTACGTGAGCACAGGCTCTTATGCGCAGAGGAAGATTGCAGTTATGACTTCTACAACGCTTCCTCAAACATCATCTCCACAGTCTGCAGAAGGTTTCCATCCCACAGCACCTGAAGTCATACCTACTCTGGATGGACAAGTCGAATGTCTGCGAGGGAACCTATTTGAAAGAGCCAGCCTACAACCTTCATCTCTTCGTGGATGCATCTCTACAAGGATGGGAGCGCATTACTATGAAGTGGTTGCATCAGAAAGCTGGTTACCGGAAAAAAATCTACATAAATCTACAAGGCTCAACGAGATCAGCACCTCTTCTACAACTGATGTTCCAGATCTTCAGCCTTGTAGACGACCTCAACCTATGAATGAAGGCCTGCCACATTTCCACATTCCACATAGCCGACCAGATACCAGTACCAGATCCTCAAGCCTGGGTTATCGACGCTCTAGCCACACCATGGGAGGACTGAACGCGTACAGGATCTCGCCGCTGATGCTGTTACCACAAGTTCCCCACAAGATCGCCCAGACCAAAGTCCTTCGACTGATTTTGGTCGCGCCGTACTGGCCACCGAGAACCTGGTTTCCAGACCTAATACACTACATCTACCAGATTGGACGAATCTATTGATCCACCCACAAGGCAACCTCACGGCAATTCAGGAGAGCTCCAGCAACACGCATGGGACGATACACTATGTCACGATATGATACGCATCACGATATTTTACCTGCGATACAATATGTATCACAATACATACATCTTGAAAGAATGACACAGTATTAAGATTTAAAATGATTTATTTCAAGGCACTTTTGTATAACAATATCACTATTGTAATAAACAAACAAGTAACTCAATTATACTTGCGTCTTTTTCTCTAAATAAGTACTTTAACATGTTTAAGGTAATACTGTTTGAAAATAGTCGTGTATCAATTGCACTGATACACCAGTCGACGATACGACAGCTGTATCAAACTTAAACTGTCTGTAAAGAAGAGCTGTACTCCACCAGAGCAGCTATGGCAGTTACACTGGCCTTAAGACGATCAACTCGCAACCCCTACGATGATAAGTCGAAGAGTTTTGACCAGTTTGTTGAACGCAAGGGTATTTTCGGCCGTGAAAGCTTCACATCTGCAAGTAGCAGAGTACCTGTGTCATCTGAGAGCTACTAGACACCTGAAGGGATCTACACTTTCGACATATTTGGCGGCGATCAGCTCAGTACTCACTGTGAATATGTGAGTCAAGCTCATCAAAGCACGTGAACTCGTGGCCCTACTGAGGTCATTCAAGAACAAGAATGGAAACTTATAACTCTTTCTGTTGTGACTTTAATTGAGTTAAATTGGGAAAACCTGTCAGGAATCATTCACACAGAACCTGCAGACAAGATGTACTGACCACGCAAGGAGACCAATTATAAAACACAACGCAAAGCATTATACTTCAGTAGCCAACCAGCACTTGTCACACATCTGCAAGGTTCTGCTGTCACTGGGCATCTATTCACTCACACGCTATGCGCCTATTACAGATAACACCTCGACTATGGACGTACCAGATTCGACTCCGGAGAGCATGCTGCAGTCCACCTGGGACTTAGATGGGACTTCATAGCGAAGAATCAGCTACCAGGTCAACAAGATAGACACTTCCACATTCCAGCATTATCTATGATCCTCGGACCAGATGACGCACAAGACCTGTCCCTGTGCCCAGCCTTGAAGATCTACTTAGAATGGACTGCTACAAGGAGGAGCAAATTCAAGAGTCTCCCAAACAACAATCTCGTTTTGGATCAGAGCAGCAGGGTTGGATCTGCCCAGAGCCTGCAATGCACACAAAGTTAGCCCCGACACTCACCAAGCATGGGAATTGCTCTTTATCATCCATCATGGAAGGCTGCTTCTGGAAGTTGGACAGTGTTCGCCAACCATTATCTTTGGGATATCGCTACAGAAGATGTATCCGGTATCCACCAGTTGGGGCCCCTTGTAATAGCGCAACAATTTATGAATCCAGCCAGACGATGAGAAACTCACCCGTATCATGTTGACTTGTTAATGGCAAGCCAGCAGAGACTCCATGTTCCACTGTCTTTTGAGATAGTCAGCGCATGAGTGATTTAGACTTATTTTCGGTAATAGCCGTTACCTTAACATATGGGTCGCAATTCAGTTTCGGTAATAGCCCTTATCTTAACATATCGATCTTTCCAGATAACTGGACATCGAGGCGAACTAGTTTATGTCTGGTGTCCTCCGCCGTGATGTTGCTGGAATATTGCTAAAAGCGGCATAAAACCATTCATGATCTGAAGGGCCCTCCCAGCCTTCCCCTCTCAGCACTACGGGCTTCACTTCAGGTCCTAGTGTGGGCATATTCAAGAGAGAGTGAGGAGAGCTTGGCTCAGGTCACGTGAGAAGGCTTTATTCGGGAAAGTAGGGCTCCCGATGGGTGAGTGATTTTGACTGTTCTTGGGAACAAAGGGATTCAAGTTTCCATGTAACTGTCGAAAGGAAAAGGGAGATAAGCAATATAGCATGAGTCAGGATAAGCATAAAATATCAATTTTATCATAAGAATTACATTTAGTAGATTTTGTTGTGGAATATTGAGGACAACTATGAATGAGGAGCATTCTTCCTCCCCTCAACCTATATGAGGGTGTTATATTTCTGTCTCATGTATCTTGCATGTGTTTGGAGTCAGTGGAGGTTTGCTTTTCCAGGAGACTAGAATGGAAGAACTTTGAAGCCACACTAGTAGCAAGTAAACAGATCCGTATACGTAATGTGATGAATGATGCTGGGGAGAAGCTGGACTTCAGAGACAGAGTCATCAAACTTTCTATGTCATTTGCTCATCTGGTGGTTGCCACATCATCTCAGTGTTACATTTACAGGTGGGTAACTCATGTCTAGACTGCTGCATTGAATGACAAGTCAGGGGAAAACATTTCTCACAACATAATTCATTTTCTATGAAATGCTGGTCGATGGGAGTGAGACACTGATTTTATAAACAAGAACTGAATCTTTTGTGTTTTACATGAGCTCTGACTACAGTGAGTTTTGTGTGATCAGTGCGAGGCGCTCATGCTCCTTGTTGCTGGCTTGAAAAGTCTACAATGAGACTGTTTATCATATGTGTTTTGTTAGGTTGTTACTTTTCTCCTATATGTACTCCTTCTAAAAATTGAAAGTCTGATGTATGTGTATACATTACTGTCATTTTAGACCATTAATAAAAACACATATTGATTTATATTTTGTGATCCGTCTATATATAGACAATGTCAAAGTTTGAACACGTTTGATAATGGGGTTCAGCCATGGTACTGATTATTTGCACTGAAGCTATAACTTGTGTGACCCGTGAAGATTCGGGTTAGAATTGGTCTTCAGCGACCCATGCTCATCGTAAGAGGCGACTACGGGATTGGGTGGTCAGGCTCGCTGACTTGGTTGACACATATCATTGTATCCCAATTGAGTAGATCGATGCTCATGCTGTTGATCACTGGATTGTCTGGTCCAGACTCCATTATTTACAGACCGCCGCCATATAGCTGGAATATTGCTGAGTGCGGTGTAAAACAATAAACCAAGCAAACCAAACCATAACTTGTGTAAGAATTTGTTATATACTGTTTTTCTTGATGCTAGTGTTATCATCAGCAGCTTTTTACGGGTGCTGGATGAGTGGTCTTGCACAACATAAGGGACCTTACTTTGACCCATGCCACCTGTTTCAATCACATTACCATTGTTACAACAGCAGTCTGCAGCCCAGTTGACATGTGATTCCTATTTCTTTGGAGGGAATGCCTGGAAATCTGATACCAAGTATGGTATACGCTACACTTTAAAGAGCACTTGTGCAAAATGGTGTCTGAAAATAGGTCAGGTAGTCCCCCACACTAATTGTATGCAAGACTTAGTGAGTCATACATGTTCTGGTACATCCTTGTCATCTAAACACTGTTTATCATTTTATGTCCATGAATTTGGTCTTTGAATGTTATTAGAAAGAGTAAGTTTGTTTGAGTTTGACTAATTTCCAGTTGAGACACTGGGTTCTCATGGTGTAGTCTGAACTCAAACATGTGTCAAGTTTGAACATAACAATGAAAGCTTGTCTGTGTAGTAGCAAGTAGATTTGAATGAAACTTTACAGAAATTCCTGCTCTTTCAGCACAAGGAACTGGAACACTCCAATGATATTTGATCTGAAGGAAGCTAGTGTTACTCTCATCAAGCAAGCAGAGAAGTGAGTCAACCATGCAGAGCAATCAACTTCAGCCCCAGTTATCCACTGTAGTATATCTTCAAATCTTCAAAACGCTGTACTCTGAGCAAGACTGAAAGCACCGACCCCTGTCGCTACAGAGTCACATCATTTATGAGAGAAATGTGCTAATGAGAGACTAAGTGTTATCAAAGACTAACCCTAGTCAGCCAAATCCCACTCTGGCTATGTGAGAGACCTGTTTGGACAGAATCTGGTTAAGTGAGAGGAAGCCGTCCAGGCTATCATAAATGAATGGAGATATAATTCGCTGATAATTAGGAGATCTACAAACATACTGTATTTTCTACGTATGGTTAGGTAACCTGTAGATTTTACCTTCCTGAACTGAATTTGGAACAGAGACGCATGGCATGAGGTTTCAAACATTAAGAGGGCTCAAATTAGCAATATTAACACTGATGCAGGACACTGTATCTCTTTATCACATTTAGATATCAAACTTAGGAATAATCATTGTGCATTATAGGATTATTGCCACTGATGACATAAGCTCAGTAACAGCAAGGGCTAACTGTACAAAAATCATAGGAGTCATCAGAGATCTGAGATGGTATTTATTTATCTTTTTTATCGGATATTCAACTTTGACAGATTTTTATGGTTATGAGTGCTTTGGTTTTGTCTGGTGCAACTAGGTTTTCATGTCTCCATGTCTTCTGGTGCAACTAGGTTTTCATGTCTCCTGGTGCAACTAGGTTTTCATGTCTCCGTGTCTCCTGGTGCAACTAGGTTTTCATGTCTCCGTGTCTCCTGGTGCAACTAGGTTTTCATGTCTCCGTGTCTCCTGGTGCAACTAGGTTTTCATGTCTCCATGTCTCCTGGTGCAACTAGGTTTTCATGTCTCCTGGTGCAACTAGGTTTTCATGTCTCCATGTGTCCTGGTGCAACTAGGTTTTCATGTCTCCTGGTGCAACTAGGTTTTCATGTCTCCATGTCTTCTGGTGCAACTAGGTTTTCATGTCTCCTGGTGCAACTAGGTTTTCATGTCTCCGTGTCTCCTGGTGCAACTAGGTTTTCATGTCTCCGTGTCTCCTGGTGCAACTAGGTTTTCATGTCTCCGTGTGTCCTGGTGCAACTAGGTTTTCATGTCTCCTGGTGCAACTAGGTTTTCATGTCTCCTGGTGCTACTAGGTTTTCATGTCTCCATGTCTCCTGGTGCTACTAGGTTTTCATGTGTCCGTGTCTCCTGGTGCAAGTTAAGTCAGGTTCTTTAGATTGAACCCAGGTTACATTTAGCACAATAAAATCTTCAGGTGAGTTTTTTCTAAACACCCTAAGTTTCTCTTAATTCCACCCTGACAAAATAAACGAGAACTGTTTGGTGTTAGTGAAGGTATTGAGTGAAGAGTTTTTCTGTTGAGTTAAAATTATTTGAAAGCATTTTTTCATCAGAAGTAAGGAAACACTGATAATAACCTGTTACCAGAAGTACATCACCTTCCAGGCTCATACATTTCTGTTGAGCATAATTTTGTAGTCACTGGAACGTAAATCACATAGCTAAATTAACTTTGCCCCCTTTGATAAAATGAAGTAAATATTACTATGATTCATCACACTCATCATGAAACAAAGGATATGACAAACAATAAGTACATTGTTGCCCCACTCTTTAAATACGCTCTCGGTCATTTTCTATGGCCTTTAATTGCCGATATTTGTTGCCACAAATACTTTTCATATTGTATGTATAAATGTACATATTTTAAAATGCCTATTGACAGTGGTTGAGAAAGAAGTTCTTTAAGTATTATCATCCACCATGATGTGGTTGTAAAATCAGCTGTTTCAAGCAGAGGTGATCTCTTTTCCAAGTTGGTTGAAATGAGGCTGAACAAACCATTTATCGTTTGGTATTTCCTGTTGTGCAATTTACATAACTGGAGTTGACAAGGTCGTTTTTTTGTTACTGCTGGAGAGTGAACTTTTTCCTTTAATAAGTGAATGAGTTAATAAGTGTTATTTTCATAGGTTTGAAATCCATTTCCTATTATGGACAAAGTATAAGGTTTGTTCATGATTTGTTCATTAGTCTTGAGACTGTTTACATTTTGAGCTTTAGTGTTGTAGTTGCTTCAATAACAAACACATTTTTTGCAGGCATTTCCTGTTGGTGGACGGAGGTGGTGTTTATGTATATTCTTATGATGGCCGCCTTGTGTGTAGTCCTCGTCACCAGGGCATGAAGGCAGATATCCTCAACACACAGACCATCTCGCTCAGTAATGACACAGTTGCTATTCGCGACAAAGCAGACGAAAAAGGTATAAAATGTGGCTAAAAGTTCCAATATGTATGTGTTTAAATATATAATAACTGACTCTATAAGTTGTATTTGTATTTCAGCTCGTTTTGCTGAGAGTAAGTGATCTGATAGTCAGTTGCCTGTTGGCAGTGGCTGGGGCTGTATCTGTAAACCTCTACTTACAAAACCACGGTACAAATGAAGCCCACCCATGAAGGTCCGGGTTACAACTGGTCTTCAGCAACCCATGCTTGTTGTAAAAGGCGATAGGCTGACTTGGTTGACGCATATCATCGCATCACATTTGCGTAGATCAATGTTCATGCTGTTGATCACTGGATTTTCCTGTCCCGGCTCTATTATTTACAGACCTCCACCTCATAGGTGGAATATTTCTGAGTGTGGCATTGAACAACAAACAAAAGAAGTCAAATACATCTTCCCACCAGTGTTTGAATGATTGTTGTTTAATCATGTTACGAGCACAATCAGAAATATTTCAACTGTTGTGTTACATCTGAGCTGGACAAACATCCCTCTAATGATGACACTGGAGTCATTTTTCATCAGGTTTAAACTTGCTATTGAGTGTGTTTACCATGTCAAAAACCCTTTCCTGGTACACCCTTTGATTAAAATATACTGAACATCATTGAAAACGCACCAGTCTAAAATTGCCCATATTTTCATCAAGATGGGATTTCAGCATGACAATGATCAATGAATATAACTAACATGAAGTCGAAGGGCATGTCCAGTTGAAAAAATGCTTTAGAAACAAATTCCTGTCAACAGTATGACCCTTAATTCCAAAATGCATCAACATGCAGCCACGCCATGAAAAAAGAGTGAATTTCATTCTGAAATCATACTGACTTTGACATTAAAAGTGGGTGTATGAGAACCGATTCTTATTCCTTCACTAATGATTGTGAAACGAGGACAGAGATGCCGAGGTTAACACCTCACGTAAGGCTTCATAGACGACATCAGTAGACAGGCAGCACCCGTGACCTTCAATGACCTTGGCAACAACGTGTTACGACGCTCCATCTGGATGGCCATATTGACCTTGTCCATATCAGTGATTGAACACTGCCGACTGCCAGGACTGCTGCACTAGTTCAAGGTTGACGTGGGGGTCATCAGCACTGACTCCATGCGACGCCGTCTACACGCTACAGGGCTCCATGCTCGACGTTCTTACGTTGGACCAATTCCGACTGGCAGACACCGTAATGAGCGTATACAATGGGCTAACAGGCATGTTCAGTAAAGTTTACAACAATGGCATGGTGTGGTAGTCACTGACGAGTCTTCATCTACGTAATGCTGACGGCAGATTACGTGTTTGGCGTAGACGTGGTGAGCGTTATGCTGATGAGTGTGTAGTTCAGACAGACCTTTGGGTGGTGGGAGTGTCATGGTCTGGGGTGGAATAAATTACAATTACAGGACTGCCTTCATGTTTGTCAAGGGAGAGTTAATGCCCTTTATTACCGTGAGCAGATTCTTCAGAATCACATCGTATCTGTCTTCAATCACCACCAAGATGTCCATACTTTTCAACAGGACAACGCACGGGCACACACAACAAGACTTTCCATGCAGTATCTGGCCCAGCAACACATCCAGGTTATTATTGGCCAGCACAGTCGCCAGATGTATCCCCCTAGGAGCACTTGTGGGACGAAATTGGTCAAAGTCTTTCGTGGCGACAACAGATGCGAAACATCCGGGAACTTGAGGCTGCACTACTGCAGAAGTGGAATGCCATCCTCAAGAACCCTATTCGGACGCTTATTGACTCAATGAGGAGACGTTGAACTGCATGTGTCAATGCAAAAGGCGGTCACACGCGATACTGACTTTTCGATTTGACGTGTTTGATCCTTTCTGACTGGAACATTTCAATGAATGAGCGTCTTTTCAGTGTTGTTGTTATTGTCAGTCGTCCATCTGTTATTATCCACTCAAAAAATATCAATTCCTTACACGTGCTTTTAATAATCTGAATTTTTATAAGTGGTGCGTTTTCAATGATGTTCAGTATATAATGAAATGTAAAGTTAGTAGTTGCATGCAACATTTTCATTTCAAAGGTGCATTGTGTGGACTGTAAGTATTATTTGGTATTGGTGAAGCTGAAGCATGTGTCTTCAGTGATGTGATTATATACTCAGCATCATAACTGAGTGGTCATGTAGGTAATAATCACTATAATGTGTCATTTCCATCTTCCTTGAGTGCAGTCCAGTTGCATGTGTAATGAACCATTTTACACACACATTGGCTGTCACTAGTCATGCATTTCATGTACTTGGGTAGACCACTGTTGGCATTCAGGTGGGTATATCATGTATCATTGAGTGTAAAGCAACTCCACATACATGACGACCCCCTTGTACAAACCTTCAATACTAATTCATATTCCCCATCCCTAAAGTGACCCTGAAGGAAGCACATCATCAGCGTATATACACTATCCCCAAATTTATAATAGAATTGTGCTTGTGTCAGAATATTTTGTGGGTTAAGTCAGATGAAGATATTCTATTTCCATTAATTGAATTTTCTATGTTTCAATTCACTAGGCTTAGTTTTTTCTAACAATGAGGTGTTTATTCAACAGTCCTTGATACAGGTCTTTTCAAACACTTGCTGATATTTGTGTTTCAGGTGTACCGGTTAGATATCACGAGTTAGGTCACATGGGCAACTGATTGTGGATGTCTCAAGTTCCAAAAATATAATTTGATTAGTTACTGTTTTTGTTTACTGTGTAGTTTATTCTAATACAACAATATTAATATTTAGGTGTTTATACAAATGCACTGATTATTTAAATAATACACACATGTAGAATTAACTGTCATGCCAAAATTGTATCGGAAAATTTGAGATGATTCAGTTCCGGCTGTTTGTTTTTTCAGAGACTGTTTTCTCAGCTGGCTGGACAATCCTAACATTTTATTTACAGAATATGTATGGTATGAGCAAGGAATTCAGGTACAATGGAAGCTTGCATACTATAATAGTTCTTGGAGCAATCATTTCAACTGAAATGTGAAGTTTTACTGTCAAATAGCATCAGTGGGCATTGGACACCATTTGACATCGCCAGTCAGAAAAAATGTGATATCTTCTATACTGCAAACTGCTCTTAATAGAGTTATTTTAGGTACGAAGAACTTCCACAATACAGTAGCTCTGTCTCTCATCTCCAGTCTGTCACTTTCAGTAATGGTGCTGAGGATAGTTGCGTACATCTCTAAAGTCCAAGACTGGCACAGGTCTCTGGCACTTCAGTCTTTGTTGTTTGAGGAAAGTGAACTGGTTCAGTCAGGCAAACCTTGTATCTCAATATAGAGATGAGGAAAGGGAATACTAGTGAGGTGCTTTTATTCTTTGTGTTGTGTTTCAGTGGTGTATGTGTTTGATGCTCAGACTGGCAAGAGTATGGGAGATGGCAAGCCAGTTACTCACAAGGTAAAAACAGTTCTGCTATTATTCTTTGAAACAGAAATCAATATCTAAAACTAACTAGATAATCCTGTAAATATAGTCTGCAGAATTTTGAGTGTTGGTTACTATACATTACTTAGGAGATAAACGTACTGAAATTAGATGAATGTTAGTCTCTAAATTTCATTTGAAGCTGAACGCATAGCGTGAGGTTTCAAATGATTAATTTAGAGACTATCAATTCGGTCTAACATTCATCTAATTTCCAAACACAGCATGTTTATCTCCATTCTACCATAACCGATTTAACATCGAACTTCCTCATCCTGCGGAAGACGCTGCGTAATCCGGCATGGACGAGAGGCGAATTGATGTGGTGGTGGTGGGTGCCGTTCGTATTTTTTGTAACAGTGCAACATAAAAAATATTCTGTCCAAAGAAAACAAACTACTGTTTATTCAATGCAGTAATGTAACACCTAAGAGCTTGGTTTTTATAATCATAACTCCACACAACCGAAACGAGCCTATTGTTTTGTGTGCCGTGTTACTGTACTCCCCTGGCCACACTAAAATGGAATCGTCTGACCTTATTTTCATTGAAGTAGACAGTTACGCAAAAGTTTGAAATGGCGGACGAGCCAGTGTTTACATTTTGCGAAAGATTGAAATTCGATGTGAGAGTGGAAAATACTTGACTGACTGTCGAACCTGAACCCTGCTGAATCGAAGAATACATCCTTTTCTGATCGACCTATGACCTGTAACTCATCAAAAACTGTTGCGTTTTATGACCGGCGAGTGTCGATCATGATTTCACGTACGTGCCTCTACCCCAGCATGCGACGAAAGAGTGACAGTGCTGCTTTGTGTACATGCGACTAACTTGGGATTCCTTGGAACATTGTTCTCATCATTTTGGACTGGATTGTGGCCAAGATTTTCAAAGTGTAGGAACATAGAAGTGACAGCCTTGCGGGGAAGGTGGCTGAGAGCGGAATTCTGGTGGTTCAATTTTTTGACATTTTGAACGATGCAACGGGACATGATGGAGTATGAGTCGCATAAATGTTTTGTTTCGCCTGACCGTTATCTTGCAAATTTCCAAATTTATAAACGGAAACCAATATACCATTTACCAGGTAGGTAAATGTTTACGAACGTTTTGCCGCACAAATAGGGATAGATAGGGATGGATTTTTACAATTTTTTCTGATTTATATGTTAGATATTGTTTGTTTATGCTTGGAGCTGTGTATTGTAATTAAGTTTGAATATTTTTTTAATAGAAGATAATAATTATGATAGTGAGGTTCCCTAATAATTGTGGAGGAGAAATCGTATAATTGTATTTTTCGAGTTTTAATAAACGTTTCATCAGCATTTCCATCGAGTCTGTTGTGTTGATATTAGTCATGTTGGTGGCCAAGCTGAAGTAGTGCGGCAGTGTTGTATACGTCGCGCCGTGAAATCAGACGCATTTTCAATCCAAATTGATACCGTCTGATTTTATTGATTGACCAATCAAATTCGAGCACTTCACGTAGCCATGGTAGAATTCAAGTTTGCCTCAAACCCCGATTGTCCGACACAACTGTCGTTTACTCTTGTATTGAGTAACAACTGTGGCAGCAAGAAGTAATGAGGCTCAGCTGTCTGATATGACAAATATTTACCTGGTGAACGTTGGGTCAGTGTAACATCATAATGGGCTAATGGCTAATTGATCATTGTCTGTCATTCCATTGTCTGTGAACTTTCAACTTCTTTTCCAGTATAGCTGAAGAGAAGACTGTAAACCTTCACAACTCTGTATGGCAACCACAGTTGGTGCTAGTATGAGCAAAGAGGTCATAGAAGGTTAAAGGTCACATAAACCCTAGGGGGTACAAGTACATAAATCACTAACTGGCATCGTTGTAAATGAAACCCCGTCCTTAAAACTACTCATTTCGACCTTTAATTGACTTAAATCGACCTTTTTGACAACAGTGCACAATTCTCACCCGCGAATGAAATTTCAACCAATCAGAGCGGCGCGCCTCTGTGACGTCATATGAGGAATAGCTTTGAGAGCCGATGCAGAATTCATCTACATTTTAGGGGGTAAATTATCGTGTTTACAGGCTTGTATAAACCTGAAATCGTGACAACTGTTGTGGAAAATGAAAGCTATATGTTCTCACAATCTACTGTCATTTAATTTTGTGTCCTGCTTTGCCTAGTTTCGAGTTACAACTTGTTTTCATAGGCGATTCTGTCAAAATCGATTGGTGTCGTTAGGCCCTATTTGTATAATGACTGATCCAAATTGATCCCATTTCTGTGTTGTTTTACCTCGATATTTAATCATGTCATGTAAAAATCTGTTTGTATTCTCAAAACAGTGTCGGCCCATAAGTTTTCACATGCAATACAGCAATTAATACTCCCTCGTTGTAACCTGTGTTAGGTGGTATAAACCTACACATGTTATTTGTCATCATTCACTTGATGGTCAGTTAATGAATTTAGAACAGGTATAATTAGTGGTAACACACTTAGATTACCCGACAAAGGTTCCCATTTGGCATTTCTTGTGTCTGGAGTAAATATTCAACATTATAAACATCGATCAAAGGATTAACCGATAACACGCTGATTGTTTAATTACTTTTATCTTACACAGCGGAATTGTCAAAAGGTAGTGTTTATGTATGTAGATTTACTAATCTATACTGAATACACTCTGTCGTGTCGGTGTCTCGTGTAAAAACAACGTCCTTCTTTCAAAGGATTAACCGGCAATACATTGATTGATTGCCCATTATTGGCTAACTAAATTACTGTTTTTAAAGAAAGGCGGACATTATGCAATTAGTTGCCAGGTGTGCTATCTTGGGTGACCAATGAGACTATACACCAATACCTGAAAAGATTTATCACTTTTTAGTATATTAAACTGTTAAAAGACACATCATTTGGAACAGTTTTGTGGATATTGATGGATACATTCCTCGAACAAGGTAATAGCCTGATATTGTTCCTATAACTTTAATCTGTTTTAATTTTAATATTTGCATTTTGTTTTATTCATTTGTCGTAGCATTCAACAGAATCATTGTTTTTAGCCGTGAAGTGTAATGAGACAGACAACATGCACTAGGATGTGTAATGCGAATTATGATTCACATTGGCAAACTATAAAATGTCTAGATATTACAGTTCTGTTATAAATTCACTATAAGTATCAGCAGATCGTCTGCTTTTATTTAGTTTCAAAATGCATACAAGTGTGATAATAAACTAATTAGGATTATAAGACCAAATATAAAGGCGCACATTGACTAGTATCTACATACTGGTGAGTGGACATTAACCATGGGAATGTAGCAAGAAATTTATCGGCGCAGTATTGTGACTTGACCCCACCTGCGCTTCCGTGGAAGAAATCGTTATGTTATAAGTTGTGTCATGCAAAATCCGTTTGGTTATGATTTCAATACATATTTAACAACGAGTAGAAAGTAGTCTTGATTTTCTAGCTTGATGAAAACAAACTATAATCTCATTAATTCTAACAGATTTTTATTTTTAAAAATGGCGGCGCCCTGTCGGGAACATCCGCCAGTCTGAGGATAAATGGTATTTAGGTTTGTTTTCACCGAGTTACAAAATCAAAACTACTTTCTACTGGTAGTAAAATATGTATTTTATTGATGGCCAATAGGATTTTGCATGACATAGCGTATATCATAACAATTTCTCTCGTGGCAGCGAGGTGGGTCAATCAATATAATACTACTTACAATATTATTGTTACTTCGACCACAACCTCACTTCGAGGAAGAAATCGTTATGTTACAAGTTGTGTCATAGAAAATCTTTATGGTCATCAATCATATGCATATTTTACTACAACTAGTAAGTAGTTTTGATTCTTTAACTTCCGTGAAGCGATCTGAACACAAGTAAGATATCGTTTCAGGCTTCCTAGCGCTAAACAGCACTCACAAACATAACCCATTGCTTACGAACTGCGGGGTCCTGTGGAAATCTGTGCATGGGGACACCATCGCCCGACCCTAGGAGCAATTGGCGACAAAGCAGCGATTCGGCATGTAAGTCGTTGATGTCGAGAAATCATCAAAATGATGAAGCGTGCTACACATTTTCTATACAACTAACTGAAAATCGTTCCTCATATGGCGTCACTGCAGTGCTCTGGCGACAGAGTTACGTAACCTGTCTGTGGTTTCGTTGGCGGGCGAGAGGGAAGCAGGCGACTTTTTGGCCACTTTTAATCGCTCGGTATTAATTAACCACAAGTTTTTAAAGAATAAATTTGGTGTTCCGCATAAGACTAACCACAAATCTTTCATATGTAATGGTTAAAAGAGTAACAAAAAACAAAGTTTAGTGGTTCTTTAAGAGATTTGTTCTTAGGTCGCGCGATCCCATGCATTTATCATTGAACAGGTATTTGTGTACATCATTAATTTGATACGAGAGTGAAGTTAAATTAATGAAATTAAATGAAATTAATTAAAAACCCTTGATCACATTAAAGTTAACTTGTTATCTGAGCATTTGTTGTCTGAGGTAAATGGGCCAGAGTTACATCTCTTTGATTATGACTTAATTGGTGCCAAATGTGGTCCCAATGTAAAAGATTTCCATAGGCTAATCAGTTGTGTTACAAAATATGCAAGAGATAGGCAGAACTTGAAATATGATTGAAACTGTAAGCAGGTGGATAGGTTGACTGTACATTCATAAACCTTCACTTCAAGGAAAATACCAGATATGTACAACAATGTTGAGACTGAGCGACTGACTTTCAGAAAATGAACTGGACCCGATTGTATCAAACTTTAATGAAGCATTAACGTGCCATTAAACGTTCATTAAGTAATGTATCATTACATTCTGTTGTACTAACGTTTTAATGATGCTCTGTTGTCATTAGTGCGTCATTAACTTAATGAAGGTCCTGGGGTATCATAAGAGCATCATTAAACTTCCTGGAAAAGTGAACATTGCGCCAGAATTTCGTTTGCGCCGCACTGGATCTACCTACAGCTATAAAATTACACAGAAATGTAGAGTATTAAATGGCCTATCTCATGGTATAAACTCAGTTTGAAAAGTAGACACTGCTGAATGTTACTCCTAATTTTGTTATGCGTTAAAAACAGTAAATGTCTCTGCTTTTTATCGTGCACTGATAAAAGTACTGTGCTACTATATTTTCAATTTGGCATCTTTACGGAAAGTGTGAGCAAACAAAATTCTGCCTGATACCTGAATGGCATAGGTATGTATTAAATTAGTTTGTATGCTTATGTATAACGTTATACACTCAATCTTAAAAGTGACTCGCAATATGTGTTGAAAATGGATTTTCACCAATGACATCAAATGGCTACATAAAGGTCACACGCTTATAAAGATAAGGGGGCCTCACTCCGGTATGCTTCATACTAAGTCATTGAAACTCAGATCACTTGGAGAGAGTTTGCTGTGAATAAGGACACAATATTTTCGTGATGTGTTGTTCACGGAATTATCGAAAACTATGATACTCAAAACATTTGTGACAAACGCGCACCTGGCCAATGATTATACACCATTGTTTTGTCTATAACACAACATAAACAAATTCAATGAACAAGACATATCTTTTAAAAACGTGTGCATATATACATTTCATGAAATAAATAAATCAGTTTTATTTATTATGTCAGTTTTACTTAGGTTTAAAATACTAAATGTTGATAATGAAATTAGTTTCATGAAACCATATGTAAACCATACGCAAAGTATACATTAATAATACAAGTGTAATCCGCAGGACAGTGTGATTGTGTTTACTCTTATTCAACCGACTTTCACCTCAAAGAAATTGCCACATATGTCCAACAATGTTGATTTCTCATGAAATGGCGGCTTCGTGGATATGGGTGCCCACGATTTTGCGAGGGAACCTTTGTCCATAAATGTATGATGTAAGTAATCGGAAACATTCTGACTATCTGCGTATGGTTGTTTGTTAGCGTATCATTTGTTAAATAATGATACACTAATAAGTGTTTAATACAACCGTTTTTAACGTTGCCATTAACTTATGATGTGCATTAAGGATTTATTGTATCATTAGGGTTTAATGTTGACATTAGTTAATGAAGCAATGATACAACCGGATCCTGATTAAAAAAAATCACTATATTAATATGAACATGGGACATTTTTGTCATTAATTGCTTGCTAACTTTAACTTGATAATTTAGTAATACATAGGGGACTGGATTGCTTCATTTCATTTGTGGAAGTGTTATGACTTCCTGTACATCTGTTTGCCCTTGTATGATGTCACCTGGCTGTTTCAGGTTGAGGTGATGGAGGTAGCTCTGGACCAGTTCGGCCCTGCTACAGAGCGGAGGCTGGCCATAATAGACAAGAATAGAGACCTGTACCTGACGTCAGTCAGAGTGTTTGGCACAGACAGAAAATCTGTTAAACTCGGTAGGTACACATCACTGTAAATCAACTTACAAAGACTATGAAGGTTCAATACTAAGATGTTTCTGATTTTGACTAAATTAACACAATGAAATTAGACTTGTTTGTTTCAGTCCGTTATTCAATTTATAGATATAAACTAGGTCAGCTGAATTGTTATTTGCATAGATATTAAAGGACTGTGTGTCTTGGAAATACAAACCAAACTGTTCCAAACAGTTGCTTAGTTTAGATAGTTGTAACGGCGCAAAGGTTATGCATGAAAGGACGCTCCAGAACTTTTTCCACGTCTTATGAACATGACAAATCTGTGACATATACAGTTTGTCTAACGAGACATGAACACCACACACTGGGGTATAATCGAAACTCCCTATTCATTGTCTAAATTAGGAAATATTTACTAGTACTGGTATTTGCATACAACCTGCGATACAATATATCACGATACTAAAATTTTAGTCACGACGATATATTGCCAAAGTATCGTGCACTGAAGCTGCGATACGATACGAATCCCGATGTAAGGGTGGCGATACGATAGGTATCACGATACTAAATTCTAACACCAACTATAAAACACCTTGAGATCAAAACAAAACCAATTTTAAAGTATTTCGTCAAATTCCGCCAGCGTTGTTCAATGTTCATTCGGAAACGAGATAATGAGTTTATACACAGATTTTGTGAATGTTGATAACATGCAAGAGCTATGCCTGACACAGTTCTTGACGCAAGAATTCCTGAAAAAACGTTTACTTATGAAGGGAAAATAAGTAAGCATATATTTTAATCCTCAAACAAGCGTAAGTATTTGTTCTTGACAGATATCGCGATTCGGCAATATTCAAAGTTAAACATCGATGTATCGTGGCTCATTTGAAGTATCGTATTGGGATATACAACCATGTAAAACTTTGTATTGATTCACTGTATCGGCTGCCCATGCATCAATGCGTATCGATGAATCGTCACACCACTAATATTTACATGTTGCATATAAAAAATATGCATCATTTTTAAATGTAGAGTTGATCCCCAGGTTAGTATGATGTTGATTATATCACAAATATGTGATCAGGTACAATGATCCAGTCCCTGGCATGGAATGATGATACCAACATGCTGGCAGCAATGACCGATGGCTGTGTCCTGGTCTGGTACTATCCAAATGCTGTATTTGTTGACCGAGACCTCCTGCCCAAAACCCTGTACAGGAAAGATGCCAGGTGAGCACAGACAGTCGGTAGAAAGCACATGATCATGTACACACAATATGGGTTGCATTGCTTATCCCCACACTGTCTACACCGAACACCCCATTGCTGCAGGAGATGATGTATTGCTTGTCCCCTCACAGACTTGGTTGAACACCCCATTGTTGCAGGGGATGATGTATTGCTTGTCCCCTCACAGACTTGGTTGAACACCCCATTGTTGCAGTAGATGATGTATTGCTTATCCCCACACTGTCTACACTGAACACCCCATTGTTGCAGGAGATGATGTATTGCTTATCCCAACACTGTCTACACTGAACACCCCATTGTTGCAGGAGATGATGTATTGCTTGTCCCCTCACAGACTTGGTTGAACACCCCATTGTTGCAGTAGATGATGTATTGCTTGTCCCCTCACAGATGATGTATTGCTTATCCCCACACTGTCTACACTGAACACCCCATTGCTGCAGGAGATGATGTATTGCTTGTCCCCTCACAGACTTGGTTGAACACCCCATTGCTGCAGGAGATGATGTATTGCTTGTCCCCTCACAGACTTGGTTAAACACCCCATTGCTGCAGGAGATGATGTATTGCTTGTCCCCTCACAGACTTGGTTGAACACCCCATTGTTGCAGTAGATGATGTATTGCTTATCCCCACACTGTCTACACTGAACACCCCATTGTTGCAGGAGATGATGTATTGCTTATCCCCTCACTGTCTACACTGAACACCCCATTGTTGCAGGAGATGATGTATTGCTTATCCCCACACTGTCTACACTGAACACCCCATTGTTGCAGTAGATGATGTATTGCTTATCTCCTCACTGTCTACACTGAACACCCCACTGTTGCAGTAGATGATGTATTGCTTATCCCCACACTGTCTACACTGAACACCCCATTGTTGCAGGAGATGATGTATTGCTTATCCCCACACTGTCTACACTGAACACCCCATTGTTGCAGGAGATGATGTATTGCTTGTCCCCTCACAGACTTGGTTGAACACCCCATTGTTGCAGTAGATGATGTATTGCTTGTCCCCTCACAGACTTGGTTGAACACCCCATTGTTGCAGTAGATGATGTATTGCTTGTCCCCTCACAGACTTGGTTAAACACCCCATTGTTGCAGTAGATGATGTATTGCTTGTCCCCTCACAGACTTGGTTAAACACCCCATTGCTGCAGGAGATGATGTATTGCTTATCCCCTCACTGTCTACACTGAACACCCCATTGTTGCAGTAGATGATGTATTGCTTATCCCCACACTGTCTACACTGAACACCCCATTGTTGCAGGAGATGATGTATTGCTTATCCCCACACTGTCTACACTGAACACCCCACTGTTGCAGTAGATGATGTATTGCTTATCCCCACACTGTCTACACTGAACACCCCATTGTTGCAGGAGATGATGTATTGCTTGTCCCCTCACAGTCTTGGTTGAACACCCCATTGTTGCAGTAGATGATGTATTGCTTGTCCCCTCACAGACTTGGTTAAACACCCCATTGCTGCAGGAGATGATGTATTGCTTGTCCCCTCACAGACTTGGTTAAACATCCCATTGTTGCTGGAGATGATGTATTGCTTGTCCCCTCACTGACTTGGTTAAACACCCCATTGCTGCAGGAGATGATGTATTGCTTGTCCCCTCACAGACTTGGTTGAACATCCGTTGTTGCAGGTAGATGATGTATTGCTTGTCCCCTCACAGACTTGGTTAAACATCCCATTGCTGCAGTAGATGATGTATTGCTTATCCCCTCACTGTCTACACTGAACACCCCATTGCTGCAGGAGATGATGTATTGCTTATCCCCTCACTGTCTACACTGAACACCCCATTGCTGCAGGAGATGATGTATTGCTTATCCCCACACTGTCTACACTGAACACCCCATTGTTGCAGTAGATGATGTATTGCTTATCCCCACACTGTCTACACTGAACACCCCATTGTTGCAGTAGATGATGTATTGCTTATCCCCACACTGTCTACACTGAACACCCCATTGTTGCAGTAGATGATGTATTGCTTATCCCCACACTGTCTACACTGAACACCCCATTGTTGCAGTAGATGATGTGTGCTTATCCCCACACTGTCTACACTGAACACCCCATTGTTGCAGTAGATGATGTATTGCTTGTCCCCTCACAGTCTTGGTTAAACACCCCATTGTTGCAGTAGATGATGTATTGCTTGTCCCCTCACAGACTTGGTTAAACACCCCATTGTTGCAGTAGATGATGTATTGCTTGTCCCTCACAGACTTGGTTAAACACCCCATTGTTGCAGGAGATGATGTATTGCTTGTCCCCTCACAGACTTGGTTAAACACCCCATTGTTGCTGGAGATGATGTATTGCTTGTCCCCTCACTGACTTGGTTAAACACCCCATTGCTGCAGGAGATGATGTATTGCTTGTCCCCTCACAGACTTGGTTGAACATCCCGTTGTTGCAGTAGATGATGTATTGCTTATCCCCTCACTGTCTACACTGAACACCCCATTGCTGCAGGAGATGATGTATTGCTTATCCCCACACTGTCTACACTGAACACCCCACTGTTGCAGTAGATGATGTATTGCTTATCCCCACACTGTCTATACTGAACACCCCATTGTTGCAAGAGATGATGTATTGCTTATCCCCACACTGTCTATACTGAACACCCCATTGTTGCAAGAGATGATGTATTGCTTGTCCCCACACTGTCTATACTGAACACCCCATTGTTGCAAGAGATGATGTATTGCTTATCCCCACACTGTCTACACTGAACACCCCATTGTTGCAGGAGATGATGTATTGCTTGTCCCCTCACAGTCTTGGTTAAACACCCCATTGTTGCAGTAGATGATGTATTGCTTGTCCCCTCACAGACTTGGTTAAACACCCCATTGTTGCAGTAGATGATGTATTGCTTGTCCCCTCACTGACTTGGTTAAACACCCCATTGCTGCAGGAGATGATGTATTGCTTGTCCCTCACAGACTTGGTTAAACATCCCATTGTTGCTGGAAATGATGTATTGCTTGTCCCTCACTGACTTGGTTAAACACCCCATTGCTGCAGGAGATGATGTATTGCTTGTCCCTCACAGACTTGGTTGAACACCCCATTGTTGCAGTAGATGATGTATTGCTTATCCCCTCACTGTCTACACTGGAACACCCCATTGCTGCAGGAGATGATGTATTGCTTATCCCCACACTGTCTACACTGAACACCCCACTGTTGCAGTAGATGATGTATTGCTTATCCCCACACTGTCTCCACTGATCACCCCATTGTTGCAGGAGATGATGTATTGCTTATCCCCACACTGTCTACACTGAACACCCCATTTGTTGCAGGAGATGATGTATTGCTTGTCCCCTCACAGACTTGGTTGAACACCCCATTTTTGCAGTAGATGATGTATTGCTTGTGCCCCTCACAGACTTGTTCAACTTGGTTAAACACCCCATTGCTGCAGGAGATGATGTATTGCTTGTCCCTCACAGACTTGGTTGAACACCCCATTGTTGCAGTAGATGATGTATTGCTTATCCCCACACTGTCTACACTGAACACCCCATTGTTGCAGGAGATGATGTATTGCTTATCCCCTCACTGTCTACACTGAACACCCCATTGTTGCAGGAGATGATGTATTGCTTATCCCAACACTGTCTACACTGAACACCCCATTGTTGCAGGAGATGATGTATTGCTTGTCCCCTCACAGACTTGGTTGAACACCCCATTGTTGCAGTAGATGATGTATTGCTTGTCCCCTCACAGATGATGTATTGCTTATCCCCACACTGTCTACACTGAACACCCCATTGCTGCAGGAGATGATGTATTGCTTGTCCCCTCACAGACTTGGTTGAACACCCCATTGCTGCAGGAGATGATGTATTGCTTGTCCCCTCACAGACTTGGTTAAACACCCCATTGCTGCAGGAGATGATGTATTGCTTGTCCCCTCACAGACTTGGTTGAACACCCCATTGTTGCAGTAGATGATGTATTGCTTATCCCCACACTGTCTACACTGAACACCCCATTGTTGGAGGAGATGATGTATTGCTTATCCCCACACTGTCTACACTGAACACCCCACTGTTGCAGTAGATGATGTATTGCTTATCCCCACACTGTCTACACTGAACACCCCATTGTTGGAGGAGATGATGTATTGCTTATCCCCACACTGTCTACACTGAACACCCCATTGTTGCAGTAGATGATGTATTGCTTGTCCCCTCACAGACTTGGTTGAACACCCCATTGTTGCAGTAGATGATGTATTGCTTGTCCCCTCACAGACTTGGTTAAACACCCCATTGCTGCAGGAGATGATGTATTGCTTATCCCCTCACTGTCTACACTGAACACCCCATTGTTGCAGTAGATGATGTATTGCTTATCCCCACACTGTCTACACTGAACACCCCATTGTTGCAGGAGATGATGTATTGCTTATCCCCACACTGTCTACACTGAACACCCCACTGTTGCAGTAGATGATGTATTGCTTATCCCCACACTGTCTACACTGAACACCCCATTGTTGCAGGAGATGATGTATTGCTTGTCCCTCACAGTCTTGGTTGAACACCCCATTGTTGCAGTAGATGATGTATTGCTTGTCCCCTCACAGACTTGGTTAAACACCCCATTGCTGCAGGAGATGATGTATTGCTTGTCCCTCACAGACTTGGTTAAACATCCCATTGTTGCTGGAGATGATGTATTGCTTGTCCCTCACTGACTTGGTTAAACACCCCATTGCTGCAGGAGATGATGTATTGCTTGTCCCCTCACAGACTTGGTTGAACATCCCGTTGTTGCAGTAGATGATGTATTGCTTGTCCCCTCACAGACTTGGTTGAACATCCCATTGCTGCAGGAGATGATGTATTGCTTATCCCCTCACTGTCTACACTGAACACCCCATTGCTGCAGGAGATGATGTATTGCTTATCCCCTCAC